AATAGGATAAATTACTTGTATTAAGCCTTTTTTTCTTCTCTTTGGAATATTTTTAATTTACTGGTTTTAGATCACAACAAATTATATATATATTAGGTTTTATTTATTCGCACTGAAGAAAATAAGTGAAAGACAAGACAGTACAGATAAAAAATAACGTGTAAAAACGGTGTGCAGGTGAGGTTGGAAGCCCAAAAGGGCTGATATGAAAACCACTCAACAAATGTAAGTAAAAAAACAACTTTGTTCAATCAGTTAAACAAAGCATATTAATTATAAATGTACATGATATACTCAGTATACAACAAAAACCATGTTTGATTATGTGTGTGTGCATGTGTATGAGTGTGAGAGTTAGGCTACATGGAGGGGATTATTGGGTAGTTTGGTTCATCAGGCTGACCCCCAGTCTTCATGGAGGGGATTATTGGGTAGTTTGGTTCATCAGGCTGACCCCCAGTCTTCGCTTGAAGTTATTTAGGGATGATGAGGTGTTGGCAATGTGAAGATAAGAATTCCAGAGTATGGTATAAATTCCACAAATTCACTTTTAAGAAGGCACACCTGTTAATTGAAATGCATTCCAGGTGACTATCTCATGAAGCTGGTTGAGAGAATGCCAAGTGTGCAAAGCTGTCATCAAGGCAAAGAGTGTCTATTTGAAAAATCTCAAATATAAAATATATTTTGATTTGTTTAACACTTTTTTTTACTACATGATTCCATATGTGTTGTTTCATAGTTTTGATGTCTTCACTATTAAGTAGGTGTGTCCAAACTTTTGACTGGTAGTGTATAAAACGTCTCTGTGTAGTTCCCTGGTGGGGTGGTGTACAAATGAGTGTTGCATGGAATTGCTTTTTAGAGTGGTTGGGTTGTTAACATGATGTTAGCTACTGAATAACTCCTGTATGGTTGATTGAATGTGTGATGTCTATCAGGATCCCCAGGACGCCCTGTTGGTTCAGGTGAAGAGTGCACAGAAGAACATCACCTGATTCTAATCAATTAGTCTTTAATCAAGACTATACTTAGAGGACCCAATGGAGACCCAGGATACGAAGGCATTCATGGACCTCCAGGTGTGTGTGTATTTGCGTCTGTCTGTATCTGTTTGTCAGTGAGTGAATGCGTAGCACAGTATGTGAGCGGAGTTGAGCGGTCAGAAATCCTGCTCATCTCTCGTGGAGCACGACGCTCCACATCCTTTCCAACTGCTCCGCTTTGCTCTGACAGGAAGAAAAACTGCCGCTCTGAATTTGCCCCATTCATTAAAATCACAATTGAACCAACACCCATCTATTTGTGTGACTACCTGGACCAACCATTTGGTTTTGAAGTATTGAAACCAAACCATATGATTTGAATGAAAAGTATTTTAATAAACATGAAAAGGTAAATGTAAGAAGCGCTCACCATTTCAAATAGGCTACATGTCCTATTAAACAGCATATAAACACTCTAAATAGGTCAGGAGCCAGATGGAGACTAAGAAGGGAAGAAAATGAATTATTTAGGCTATATTATAAAAATGTGTTCAAGGCTACAGCCTACAAAGAAATACATTGTGAAGCATTTGCGATTGCAACACACTAGCCTGGTAGGGACATAAAGGGCTCAGCATTTAAAACATTTTGTTGTGTTAAATCATTATAGTCTATACATTGGGCATAGGCTGTGACTTACTTAGAATTAAATACAAATGAATCGAAAAATGTCTTATTAGGCTCAGTCTACAATGCCTTTTAATTCATTTTTAGAAACACGAGTTTGGCCAGAGTCTGTGGCTTCAAGCTGACGAGATGGTGCCTGGAGAGCAGGCCAGCAGTAGAGAATATGCCTCTCCGCTAATGCAGAGCCACTGGGGATGCTAAACACCCTTTTGGCCATTCTTGCCAGGTTGGGCAGAGATGCAGAGTTTTTTTTCTTTTTCTTCTGTAGGTAGGCCTAACGGTTTTTAGGCCAAATAACCCAATCAAAACAGAAAGCTCCTTGAAAGTGGGAATATGCCAGGCCTATTGAGCCAAAATCCTATTATGGCCTATCGTATAGATAATAGAACAAAAATGAACAAAACTTTTAACAGATCTGAAATACTTTACTACAATGACACACTTATACTGAACAAAAATATAAACACAACATGTAAAGTGTTGGTCCCATGTTTTATGAGCTGAAATAAAAGATCCCAGAATTTTTCCATTCGCACAAAAAGCTTATGTCTCTAAAATGTAGTGCACAAATGAGTTATCCCTGTAGTGAGCATTTCTCCTTTGCCAAGATAATCCATCTACCTGACAGGTGTGGCATATCAATAAGCTAATTAAACAGCATCATCATTACACAGGTGCACAGGCTACTCTAAAATGTGCAGTTTTGTCACACAACACAATGCCACTGAAATCTCATGTTTTGATGGAGTGTGCAATTGGCGTGCTGACTGCAGGAATCCACCAGAGCTGTTGCCAGAGAATTGAATGGTAATTTCTCTACCATAAGCCACCTCCAACATCGCTTTAGAGAGTTTGGCAGTATGTCCAACCAGCCTTACACAACCGCAGACCACGTTATGGCGTCATGTGGGCGAGCGGTTTTCTGATGAAAACATTGTCAAATGGTGGCGGTGGGGTTATGGGTATAGGTAGGCATAAGCTACGGGCAACAAACATAATTCAATTTTATCGATGGCAATTTAAATGCACAGAGATACCGTGATGAGATCCTGAGGCCCATTGTCGTGTCATTCATTCATCCGCCATCACCTCATGTTTAAGCATGACAATGTCGCAAAGATCTGTACACAATTCTGGGAAGCTGAAAATGTCCCAGTTCTTCCATGGCCTGCATACTCACCAGATATGTCCTTCTGCGATCATTTCGTCGTCGTCCCACGTTGTCCTTCTGCGCTCATCTCGTCGTCCTTCTGCGCTCATCTTATCGTCGTCCCACGTTGTCCTTCTGCGCTCATCTCGTCGTCGTCCCACGTTGTCCTTCTGCGCTCATCTCGTCGTCATCCGACGTTGTCCTTCTGCGCTCATCTCGTCGTCGTCCCACGTTGTCCTTCTGCGCTCATCTCGTCGTCGTCCAACGTTGTCCTTCTGCGCTCATCTCGTCGTCCTTCTGCGCTCATCTCGTCGTCATCCCACGTTGTCCTTCTGCGCTCATCTCGTCGTCGTCCCACGTTGTCCTTCTGCGCTCATCTCGTCGTCGTCCAACGTTGTCCTTCTGCGCTCATCTCGTCGTCCTTCTGTGCTCATCTCGTTGTCGTCCCACGTTGTCCTTCTGCGCTCACCCGTCGTCGTCCCACGTTGTCCTTCTGCGCTCATCTCGTCGTCGTCCCACGTTGTCCTTCTGCGCTCATCTCGTCGTCCTTCTGCGCTCATCTCGTCGTCGTCCAACGTTGTCCTTCTGCGCTCATCTCGTCATGGAGTTCACCAGATATGTCACCTATTGAGCATGTTTGGTATACTCTGGATCGACGTGTACAACAGCGTGTTCCATTTCCTGCCAATATCCAGCAACTTCGCACCGCCATTGAAGAGATTTGGGACAACATTCCACAGGCCACAATCAACAGCCTGATCAACTCTATGTGAAGGAGATGTATCGCGCTTTATGAGGCAAATGGTGGTCACACCAGATACTGACTGTTTTTCTGATCCACGCCGCTACCTTAAAAAAAAAAAGTATCTGTGACCAACAGATGCATATCTGTATTCCCAGTCATGTGAAATCCATAGATTAGGGCCTAATTTATTTTAAATTGCCTTATTTCCTTATATGAACTGCAACTCAGTAAAATTGTTGCATATTGCGTTTTTATATTTTTGTTCAGTATAGTTAGCTACCCACCTCGTTCCTTTCTTTTAGCGTAATAAGTACACCATCATGCTTTCGGGATAAGTGTCTTTTCATATTCCACAATGATTCTTTAGTTGTGGACACTACATCACCGCACTCCCTCTCTTGCTCTTAGTCCTCATCTTTGTAACTCACCTTGATTTAGCACCTGTGTGTTCTATTAGTTTCTTTATGAAAATATTTAGTGACAGTAGCTAAAACAAGGTGCTATAGCAGCATACTAGTAGACTACAGATGCATGCTTGGCCAGGAATGCTTTGAGCTCTACTGGAGGCTACTGGAATGAAATTGGAGTGAAGGCCTACGCTCCAGACTTTGGGAATCTCGCTCCAGTCAAATTGGGCATGCTCCGCTCCTCGGTCTGCTCCAGCTCCGCTCTGCTCACATACTCTGGTGCGTAGGGGGGGGGGGGGTTACCATGTGTAAGGTGTTTCTGTGTGTGTTTCCTTGTCTCAGTATTCAAGTGCTCTGTTTTAAGGACCACCCGGTGAACTGGGTCCCACTAGGACTGCAGTGCCCTCCCCAGGAGACGCAGGCCCCCCCAGGCCACCAGACTACCACAAGGACCGAAAGGTAACCACACAACACACAACTCCAAAACAGAAAACGTGTTTAAAACGAAAATGACTATTTTTTCTTTGGCAAGTCGATGTCTGTTTTCTTCTATTTGGTGCCTAATGATATTTTCTGATAGGTGCCAGAGGCCCCGGGGGTCACATGGGCCCCAACGGACCAAGAGGTCATCCAGGTGCCTATGGCAGACGCCGGTGACCGCTGAGACCAGCAGAGCTAACTGAGACACTTCTAGCTGTTTTAGCCTGTCCCTTTGACAACGCGGTTCCTCTGTATAACCCTGCAGGTCCCAAAGACCGCCCCGGTCGCGTTTTGGATGGTATCAGCCCCCTTTGGGCTCCCTGGGCCCTAGGGCAATGCTGGGCCTCATGGTAGGTGACCTACAGAAAGAGGAGAGGTGTGTGTGTGTGTGTGTGTGTGTGTGTGCGCGCATCCTGACCTCCACACTGACTGGTTGTGGTGTTTGTGTTCTCTCCTGGGTCCTAAGGGTCATGCTGGGTTGCGAGGGCCTCCAGGGAGTAACAGAGCTCTAGGTCCACCTGGACCTTTAGGAGACCCAGGCGCTCATGGACAGCAAGGTTTCGTGGGACAACATGGTAAAGGCACACACACAGTGCACACACAGAGACACAGACTCTCACTTCAAAAGTAACAGAAGTAGCTAAGCCTTAAGCCGTCTCACTGTGGATCTCAACATAATTCAGTATACTAACCTCTCATCTCACATGTATACATTAGTCCTTCGGTGTAAACACATGTACCCAACTCAACTTATCTCTCTCCCTCCCTCTCCCCACAGGTCATCAGGGTCATCAGGGTCATCAGGGTCCTCAGGGGGTGTGTGTGTGTGTGTGTGTGTGTGTGTGTGTGTGTGTGTGTGTGTGTGTGATAGAGAGAGACAGGATAGTGACTTATTAGGCATCTCTACTTTGTGTCTCTTTCAATGTATTCACATGAAGTTGGATCTGGGATTTCAGTTTACCTTCTGAATTGGCTGAATTAAAAAGGAATTGACCCCAATCCCGATTCACATGTACACAACCCCCCTCCCCCCAGGCCAGGCAGGCTCGTGTCTGCAAGTCTTCAGCACCATGCCCATCTCCTACTGCAACACAGGCACCTGTGACCACGCCAGCCGCAACGACAAGTCCTACTGGCTCTCCACCACTGCGGCCATGCCCGTGATGCCCGTGTCGGGCCGCGACATCCTCGCCCACATCAGCAGCTGTGCCGTGTGTGAGACGCCCTCGAAGCCAAGATCACATCGCCCCCAGCTGTCCCCCCCCCCCCGAGTTTGTGGAGGGGATCTCTGCATGTGTGTATGACTTTATTGTGTGCAAAGCTGTGTGTTGATGTTTTAATGTATGTGTGTGTGTGTTATCTATATACAGTAGGAGTGTGTGTATATGACTGTGTATTGCTCACACTATCCTCTCCGCACTCTGGAGCAGACGGCGAGGGCGGCGGTCAGTCTCGTGGAGTGGCACGTGCCAATACTTTGCCAATGTCTACAGCTTCTGGCTGACCCGCGTTACCCTAACCAAGCAGTTTGGCACCGCCCCCTTCCCTGGCGTGTGCAGCCAATCAACAGCGCCAGCAGGTCAGCCGCTGCCACGTGTGTACCAAGGGCTGAACACCTTATGTCACCTCCTATTTATTTTCTTTATTGGATGTTTATTGGATTGAGAGAGATGGAGGTGAAAGATAGGAGAGAGAGCGCTGAAAGAGCAGTGGGCCGGATTTGAAACCCATTCTGGCAGCCATACATCATACATGTGCTCCAGAGGCAGCGACGTAGATCGCTAAACCACTCCAGGCCACGTCACCTCCTATTTCAGTCAAGTTACCTCATATTATGATTACCAAACTTCCCCGACCCCTCTACAGTACATCACTGCTATTTTGGTTTTTCCCAATGCTATGCTAGCCCTGTCGGTTTCCCACTGTAGAGCCTTATTTGTCAACTCGTCAGGGCTACCACCATCATCTACCATTTGACCATGGAGGCTAATTTAACAAAACCATATTGTGGATTGCTGTCTATCCTTGTCGATAGACTGCTTTCGAGGTAAGGAAACAAATATATAAAGTGTGGAAGATGATGTCATTTCGCTGGATAATCCTTTTAACTAACTTCTTGATGGCGGGCATTGGCCAGGTCATAAGCACAATGGTTAAGCACTGATCAACCCGCATTGAGCACCTCCCAGACCAGGAAGTGAAAGCGGACACTGGGAAAGTAGTAATGTGAATGCACTGGCTTTCTCAGAGAGTGCTCAACAGTGGAAAACCAGCTATTCACTCTCACAACAACTACAGGCTAATAGACACAGTATGCCTTAATCAGAAATTATCTTAACTTGTGTAGTTGAAATAACCAGCAATGTTATATTGTTGTATCAATACCCATGTCATAATGTTATAATTTATATAATTTACAATACTGCTATTACAGCTATAAACATACATCATAACTGTGTTATATACCTGTTTTTAGTTGTGCAAAATGAAATGACAAATGAAATAGTTCCATTTTTTTGCTTGTGTCGGTGTAAATATCAATTTTATTTGTTGGTGCTGATAACAGTGGTGCTCTTATGGTTTTGAATTTGCTATCAAATTGTGCTATGAAATGTTAGTATTACAGATAAGCAGATGTTTTTATTCTTTAAAAGTTTCATCCACAAGAACAAAAATCCCTTTGAATCATGTTCTCGTTTACAGGGACCTTTTCCATTAACTTTACCAAGTGCCCTTTGAGTACTACAATGTGGGTTACTATTGAAAAACCAGATGTATCCAAATAAATCAGAGTAAACTGTGAAAACCAAAAGCCCAATCACATATTTCACCAGGAGTCTGAGCTATTCCACAGCAGGTTGAAGTTCATATTTATTTCTCTCGACAACAGAACCCATGTGACAGTCAGCATACAGTACTTATTTTTCTCAAACATTTTTTTTCTTCTTCTTTTCCTTTAGAAATAAGACATATGACTCCGACAGTGCTGTGCTCTCTCTACCCTTCACAGTGCTGTGCTCTCGCTACCCTTCACAGTGCTGTGCTCTCTCTACCCTTCACAGTGCTGTGCTCTCTCTACCCTTCACAGTGCTGTGCTCTCGCTACCCTTCACAGTGCTGTGCTCTCTCTACCCTTCACAGTGCTGTGCTCTCTCTACCCTTCACAGTGCACATTTTCTATACACACACAAAAGAGATTGTACATCGTTACACATTTCTGACCTGCATGGGGCAGAAAAGTTCACGTTTAAAACAATCATTTCAGAGTTGACCTGCATACAGTGTAGCTTCGCACACATTAACACACACTAACACACACTCACACACACATACAGGTATAAAGGACTCGGTGGGACCTCCGTGTTGATTTCTCAATGGAAGGGGTACTGCACTGGCTTAACCAGTTATGTTGTTCATGCTACTCCTAGGTTTCCTTTCCTCCATTCCTATAGGACTGCTGCTCACGTCTGCCAATGAATGAACAGATTTGGGGTTCTAGCCGTTTATTGGTCTCACACCCATGTTAATGCCCAACATCACTACAGTACACTGCACCTTAAACAACCTCAAAGGGATTCATTGCTTGATGTAGGAGCATCCCCCAACACAGATCTGGGGTCAGATTACCCAAATTCTAACCATAACCTAGGAGACCATTAAGAAATCTGGCCCTGGAACAACAGTTAGAGGCAACTCCTGAGTCACCCGTGACTTCAGTCACACCCCTATTGCCCATGCAGGTGCATGCTGGTCTATGGGGGAGGGGAGGGGGGGGATACATCTAAAACAGTTTGGCAATGCAGACATTGCATTTCTTACATGCAAAAGATAACCTCTTTAGATGATGTAGGAGGTAGAGGGGGAGTGGAGGTGTAGCGGGACATGGATCCAGCCTAATTGAGTGTGATGGAGGATGATGGGTAGTGCAGTTTTTCATTATTAATCTGTACTTTACAAAGCCTTGATCTCTAGGCCCTTATGCAACCCATGTCCTTATACTGCAGAGCTGTGGCCACGCTATAGGTCCTTATCATCTGATCCCTAAAATGGATGCTGCCAAGCAGCCAATCACGGGGGATAATGCGTCACAGACAGCCAGTCACGGATGACAGCATGTCACAGACAGCCAGTCATCTGCGATCATACCACCCAGCCAACCAGTGATAACGTATTACATGGCACAGCTCTACTACTCTACATTTTACAAAAAATATATAAGCATATTTTTTCAAAGTTATTTCTCAAGCAAGTGCATAATATACACATATTCTGCCGAAAGATTACGTTTTTGTCTAAAAGGATTGTTCCGGCTGGTTGTTGGTGTGAATTGAGTACCGTATCTACTCTGTGGGATGATGCCCTCAATGTGCCTGGCAGAGTAGGAGAGCTGACCTGTGCCAGCTATTGCCACCAACCCATATTAGATAACCAACCCTTGCAAAATGCAAACCCACCCACAATTTTACCTCAGCAGGCTTTGGCTGGTTTGGGATAATAGGTTTGTCCTTAGGTTTATCTCCCTGACCCACCCTTGTTTCTATCTTAGTGTTGTGTACTATGTACATGCTAGCCAACCCCATCTCATAACAAATAAATCCTTGTCAAAGGCTCTGACTGACTACACAGCTTGTAAACGTACAAACTGAAGCACAAGATTCCTGACCTGTTCTAGGACTAAGTATTGTACATTCTAGAACACATTGGCCCAAGGGCTAAAGGCAACCAGAGCCATGTATTTAGATCTAAATATTTTGGCTCTGATAGAAACCTATGTCAACTGAACTCTTCAACCTACAACAGTGGCAGTGTTGACAGTCAGAATATCCTCCATTCAAAAGAGTGCTTAGAGCACTGGAAATTCATTGAGCATTTGGCATAAATAATTATGCGTGATAGATTATGCTTTAAAATGTAAAATACCAAAACAAAAACTTAAATAAAAACACTGGATTGCTCTACATCTACTTAGTTTTTGCTGCTTTATCCCTTTTTGTTTAGAAAATATCTATTCATACTAAGTATATTACATGGAGTCACTTGAAATAGAAAAATATCAAATATCACCATTGATGACGAGAAAACATTACAACCTGAACAAGCGGAAATATTGCTATGGTAACCACCATTTGTCCTTTGACATCAGCGATCCCCTCCCTGCTCTTATTGGCTGCCCCTGACCCCCGTGATGCGGAGTAGGCCAATCAGTAGGCACAAAGTCTAGATGGGGGTTGGGCGTGGGGCCAAGTGGGTTATAGTTAATAATTGGTTATAGTCAGATGGCTGTGTCCCAGAACACAGTGGTCTGTGTGGGGTAGGGGGGCGGCTGAATCTTTTTGGCCCCGTTGCTCTTCTGCTTGCACAGGTTCCTGTCTGGGTGCCGCTGCCTGGAGCGGATCTCCATGCAGAGGGTGCGTTTCCTCTCGATCTGCTCCAGCATGGTGCTGTCCCCACACATCCACGGCATCTGGGGCACCTGGGGAGAAGAGCAGTAGGCAACCAGGGAAAGTAAATCAAGCACATCTCAAGAATCAAAGAAAACGAATAGATATTGATCCAGGTCTGCAGTAGGGGCCTATCTCATCGAATTACCTGTGCCTCTGGTGCTTGCCTCTGTGGGGTCCCCAAGGGAGAGGGTGTAACTGGGGCGGAGGAGGAGCGGCCATACTTCGGAAGTGCTGGTTTCAGCTCTATAAAAAGGGACAAATGCATTTATATTAATACATTTAGCTCAATCTTTTAATGGTTTACATGCAACAAAACAGAAAGTTATGGTGTAGCAATACACAGTTGCAAGCCTAAACACAATCTCAAACCCTTACCAATCACCACCACATTAATTGATATCCATTGCCATCTTTCAGTACCAGAATAAATAGTGTAGGCTACTTTGTAGTTCTCTCACCATGTTTTACGTCTTGTCTATAAGATAACACTTGGAATCATATTTAATTTTATATGTTGGGTAGCCTAGGCTACTAGCTATGTCGGCTACAGTGTGTTTCAAAAGAGCACCTGCACCTGGTCAAGGGCGCGCGCAGTGTGATTATCTAAGTATTTCTGCCAAAACCAGAGAAAATCAACTTTCTTGAGTTTGAGACTGCAACTTGATGAGAAAAGTTGGCCTAGGTAAGTTGCTTATTTCGTTTGAAAAGTGTAAAATGGTGTTTATTCTTTTAATTTTCAAACTTTAAATATCCTAATAATTAATTCAATGTCTTCAACTGACAGCCAAGGTGACAGTCAATATCCTGACTAAATTAGCCTAGCAAGCTAGCTAACAAGCGCACTCAAAATATGTTTTATTGTCACACACACCGGATAGGTGCAGTGAAATGTGTTGTTTTACAGCACGTGTCAAACTCATTCCACGGAGGGCCGAGTTTCTGCGGGTTTTCGCTCCACCCTTGTACTTGATTGATGAATTAAGGTCACTAATTAGTAAGGAACTCCCCTCACCTGGTTGTCTAGGTCTTAACTGAAAACCCGCAGACACTCAGCCCTCCGTGGAATGAGTTTGACACCCCTGTTTTACAGGGTCAGCCATAGTAGTACGGTGGCTCTGGAGCAAATTAGGGTTAAGTGCCTTTCTCAAGGGCACATTGACAGATTTGTCACCTCGAGTATTCAAACAAGGTTACTGGCCCAACACTCCAACCGCTAGGCTACCTCAGCAGGACACACACAGTCCTCACAACTTTGCTTTAAACTATCTTTGACAGTGGGTCAGTAATGTACTGTGTATATAGTTTACTTTAGCAAGTTTATTTTATGCCAATAACTTATCAGTAATAACCTTGGTTGTATGTACATTTTAGTTACCCATGCAACCGAGTCAGAGAATGTTCAAATTGTTTGATTATGGATACGCTACTTACATGTTATTGCAATTAACAGTATAGCATCTCTCTAAACTTTGCAGATAATTGTGTATGATGAGGACATGTTTAGTGCGTGTAAATAATTTACCACAAGTTATGTTGAGCTGTATGTGCAATTTCAATTAGGCTATCCTCACCTGTATTGCCAGTTCCCAACATCATTGGCGGACTGCCAGCAGGTCTTCCGTGCCGAGTTGGTGTGGCCGTCAATGATTGTTGCCCTGATACACAGTTCCTCTCTTGTGCTTTTGATTGCTCAACGCTGTAGGTCCCCCTATCTCTGCTATCACGCCTGGGTAAAACTTCTGCGCTGTAACCCACCCGGTCTTTGTCGCGCCTAGGATCTACCCCATTGGCACTCTTGCCGTAGCTATCGCGCCGGGGAGGCAGCTCTGAGCCATTGCAGCTTCTGTCCTTGCTGTCACGCCTGGCCTCAAGGCCATTTCTGGCTGACTCTTTGATGTCCTGTTGGGGTAAGGGCTCCATTCCATTGTAACTTCGTTCTTTGCCCTCTTGTCTAGACTCCAGGCCGTAGCTCGCCCTGTCTCGGTCTTTGCTATTACGTCTGCACTCAAGGCCATTTCTGGGTGAATCTTTGCAATTTTGTCTGGGTAGGAGCTCTGGTGGCTGATCCATTTGTTCTTTGCTGTCATGTCTCGAATCCATTTCGTTCCTGGTTCGGTCTTTGCTATCTTGCCTGGGTAGAAGATCCGGTGGGTTCTGGTGGTTGAGCCTTTCTATGCTGTCATGTCTGGACTCCACACCATTCCGGGGAGAGTCTTTACTGTCCTGCCGTAGTAAAGGCTCCATGCCGTGGACACTTCTGTCTTTGCTATTGCGCCTAGGCATCAGTTCTATGTTATTGTAGCCCCTGTCTTTGCTGTCCCGTCTGACAGGCGGGGGCTCAATACTAGTGCAACCCCTGTCTTTGCTGTCTCTTGTCATAGGCAAGGGCTCCACACTACTACAACCCCGGTCTCTGCTGTCCCGTTTCATAGGCAGGGGTTCAACACTGCTACAGCCCCTGTCCTTGGCGTCGCGTCTGTGAGAAGAAGACTCTTTGCTACGTTCCTTGCTCTCCCGTTTGGACTCCTTGCTCTCCCGTTTGGACTCCTTGCTCTCCCGTTTGGACTCCTTGCTCTCCCGTTTGGACTCCTTGCTGTGACTGTGCCGCTCCTTTCCGTCACGTCTGGACTCGCTGTTAGGCTTACTCTTGGACTCGGCTGTAACAGAGCAGAAACACAGTCAGACACCGTAAAATACCAAGTTTCTTCAAGTCCCTAGTTATTAGTTATGCCTAGTGGTATCTCCTGTTATTTCCTAGGAGAAACACAGTCAAATACCTTAAAATACCAAGTTCCTGCATGTCCCTACCAATTAGTTAGTAGTATATTCTGTTACTTCAACACAAAATAACTAGTAAACATAGCCTATATAAAGATTACATTTTTTTTTAAAGCACTGCACTAACGCTATATGGACACTTGGTGTCACCCATGCGCTGTGGGCGCAATGAACCATTGGCATGAGATGAGGTCATTTTGCCTGAATTACTGGGAAATGCTGTTGTTTCATTTGACAGATGTCATGGAGACATCCAGGATGTGAATTGCATAGATACTAGTATACATGGGTAGGTAAAGGCTCAGTAACCATTTTCAATGCATTCTTATTTCACACATTTATTTGCTGTTTTAATCTGTCATATTTGGTGAAATGTTTCTAAAACAATGCAGTAGGCCTATTTGACAATTGTAATGTTCTATCTCTCTCTACTTGTCTCTCTCTATTGGGCTAAAGGACAACACAGAACTGTGCATCAATAAGACATTACTGCATATGCATGAAGAGGACAGAGCCAACAAATAATCCCACAGGCCAATTAAAACCAAGAAATACACATAATTTGCATAAAAGGCGAGATGCAAACATTTGCCAGAACCACCAACCAATATTTCCTACAGTCAGAGAAGATTGTGGTGTTACAATTCCAGGAAGTCAGCAACGGCTTCTTTCTCTCTCCTGATTGGTGACTGTGAAGCTGTTTCCCTTGTTTCAATCTTTACTAGCTGATTGGGCCAAGAGAGGAATAGAACTCTCTGATCAGGTGTAAAAGCCTTGGTTGTCTCTCAGGAAGCCTGCTGCTGCTGCTGCACATGATCAGTTGGAAGCTGGTGTGACCTGCGCTGCGATTGGCCCACTTCCCCACTGGGAGGGATGCTGCAAATAAGAGAGGCTCCTTCTTCTGTTGCTATGACTGGTTTGGAGTTGGTGGTTGCTATGAAGCTCTCGGAGTTAAGTGCAGATTGACACGTGCCCAGTCATTTTTTATGTATAGCCCTATATGGGTTCAAATACACTCAACCAGTGGGAATTCTCCCATGGAGTTAGTTGCTATGTTAGATCTCTCTCAAAATCATCAACCAATCTGATAAAAACCCATTAACACACTTCACTGCTCTTGTGACCACAATTAAGGAACACAAGTCTTGAATACCTACACACCATTTACTCCTTTACAATTTGCAATACAGTATTGTATATGGTTTCAAACACAAATTCATATTTTATTCCTTGAAGTTTCAGGCCATGTCTCAACAGGGGTCGGTAACTAGGAGAAATATAATGGCTGAATATACAGATCACAGGATGGTCGACGAAGTATGAATACGGAAAACCGGTTCTGAAGTTTTATAGAAATGTGTTAATCTCCGGAGTTGGGTAACTATCTGGATTCACCATTCGTGTAATTTTGGCACCGTCCTGCACTGGACGCATTGGCCTCCTGTGTTTAAACATGATGTTTACATATTTAAGAGTAATGCTGTGCGGTGGCTTAATACCATTGCAGGGTTTGAGAGGCATGCTGACCGCTTTACTCCCTAATCCGGCCAGATTAAATCATATGATCTGTATCAGTCTACGTTTGGTGGGCATAGATTAAACGGGCTCACGAAGGAAATGCTTGCAAAGACCCACAAACACCCACGGCAAACATCAGCAGCAGTATCTCCTAATTTAGCGGGATTGGAAGTTGCTTTACCAGATGAAAAGGGGTTTATATTAACATGACACTGATGAGACCACTAATAACTAACTTCACAAAAAAGCTTGAACCATTGCTGTAGTTTGTGCGTCAATGTGTCAACAACATGTCAATGTTACACTGTGTGGGTTATGGCACTGCAGTCAGTTTGGATCAGACTGGATAGTGGATACCTGTGGAGGAACTATTTTGTTACCTCTATGTTGATATTGACTGATTCTGTAACTAGATTGACAAATAGATCATGTCATGCATTGATTGACTGATTGATTGACTGAATGATTGACACTCACTCTCCCCGGGCTCCTTGGACTTCCTCCCGCTGGCATTCTTCTTCATCATGTTCCTGCCGGCGGTGAACAGGTTGGTCAGCTCGTCCAGGGGGCTGGTCGGTGTGCGTGAGCGCCCCGTCGACACGTTCTGCATTGACCCATGCAGCCTGCCCCCGGCAATGCAGTCCTGGGGGGGCGAGCCCTTTCCGTGGGGCGTGGCAGAGGCGCTGCGTGGCAGCCCGCCTGGGAAGGGAATGGGGTTATCGAAGGGTGGCGCACGCATCAGGCTGAGGGGCGTTAGGCAGCGGCCCATGCTGACGGGCGAGGGGCAGGCTGAGTGGCTGCGCTGATAGCCATGGGCTGAGGAGGCCGAGGACTTGTAAAGGGTGCAGGGCAGGGGCGGGGCCGACGAGCGACCCGACACGGTCAGGGTGGGCGTGGCGGTCAGCTCACGGCGTAGGTGTGCCGAGGGGGGCTCAGAAGAGGAGGTGGGCGACTTGCTGTAGGCACCGGAGTTGTCCATCATGGGCAGTTTTGTCAGTGCATCCAGAGGGGTGAGTGGGGACTCGTCCGAGTTTGGCGAGCACTGGGCCGGCGCAGGGGGGAACACCAGGAGGGGCGGCCGGTGGGTGAGCAGGTTGGGGAAGGGCGCGGGGATGTCGCAGAGGGGGATGTTGCGCGGGGTGGAGCAGCGACTGAGGGGCTCGGGGTCCAGTGGCGCCGGGGTGGGGCAGGCGGAGCGGCATCCCGGGGGGTCCCAGCGGTAGTCCATATCATCCAGGAGGGGGTATTTCATCTCCTCGTACACCGACTCGTCCGGCTCCTCGTCCTCACTCTTGGGTGCCTCTGTTTGCCCCCCGCCCCCAACACTGGCACCCATCTCGATGTAGACGGGCTCATCCGAGTCAGAGTGGTGGCTGGGGCTCTCGTCGCTCGGCGGCGAGGGGTTGCGCTCGCGCTCCGCAGAGGGGGAGTGACCCTTGGAGCCTCCGTGCTTCCTGATGTAGGACTCATCGAAGGAGGTGCTCAGCTGGGTGTTGGGGTTCCTCCTGGGTTTGGGGGGAGGGACCCTCTTGCAGTCTTCACCGCAGCCTTGTGGCGCTGAAGGAGCAGAAAAACAAAACGTGAAATTATAGTAAACCATTACTGTATTATTACGTGTTACATGTCTTTGGGTCAGATGTAGGTTGCAATAGCTGAAAAAATTTTATTGACTCGGATGTATAAAATATATACAGTACCAGTCAAAACTTTGGACACACCTACTCATTCCAGGGGTTTTCTTTATTTTTACTATTTTCTACATTGTAGAATAATAGTGAAGACATCACAACTATGAAATAACACATCATGTATGAACCAAAAAAGTGTTAAACAAATCAAAATATATTTTATATTTGAGATTCTTCAAAGTAGCCAGCCTTTGCCTTGATGATAGCTTTGCACACTCTTGGCATTCTCTCAACCAGCTTCATGAGGTAGTCACCTGGAATGAATTTAAATTAACAGGTGTGCCTTCTTAAAAGTTAATTTATGGAATTCATTTCCTTCTTAATGCATTTGAGCCAATCAGTTGTGTTGTGACAAGGTAAGGTTGGTATACAGAAGATAACCCTATTTGGTAAAAGACCAAGTCGATATTATGGCAAGAACAGCTCAAATAAGCAAAGAGAAATGATAGTCCATCATTACTTTAAGATATGAAGGTCAGTCAATACGGAAAATTTCAAGAACTTTTAAAGTTTCTTCAAGTACAGTCGCAAAAACCATAAAGCGCTATGATGAAACTGGCTCTCATGAGGACTGCCACAGGAAAGGAAGACCCAGAGTTACCTCTGCTGCAGAGGTTCATTATAGTTACCAGCCTCAGAAATTGCAGCCCAAATAAACGCTTCACAGAGTTCAAGTAACAGACACATCTCAACATCAACTGTTCAGAGGAGACTGCTTGAATCAGGCCTTCATGGTCGAATTGCTGCAAAGAAACCACTACTAAACAACACCAATAATAAGAAGAGACTTGCTTGGGCCAAGAAACACGAGCGATGGACATTAGACCGTTGGAAATCTATCCTTTGGCAGTGATGAGTCCAAATTTGAGAATTTTGTTTCCAACCGCCGTGTCTTTGTGAGATGCAGAGTAGGTGAACGGATGATCTCCGCATGTGTGGTTCACACTGTGAAGCATGGAGGAGGAGGTGTGATGGTGTGGAGGTGCTTTGCTGGTGACACTGTCTGTGATGTATTTAGAATTCAAGGCACACTTAACCAGCATGGCTACCACAGCATTCTGAATCGATACGCCATCCCATTGGTACGCCATCCCATGGTAGGCGCTTAGTGGGACTATCATTTGGTTTTCAACAGGACAATGACCCAACACACCTCCAGGCTGTAAGGGCTATTTGACCAAGAAGGAGATTGATGGAGTGCTGCATCAGATGACCTGGCCTCCACAATCACCCGACCTCAAAACAATTGTGATGGTTTGGATTGAGTTGGACCGCACAGTGAAGGAAAAGCAGCCAACAAGTACTCAGAATGTGGGAACTCCTTAAGATTGTTGGAAAAGCATTCCAGGTGAAGCTGGTTGAGAGAATGCCAAGAGTGTGCAAAGCTGTCATCAAGGCAAAGGATCTAAAAAAAATCTAAAATATATTTTGATTTGTTTAACAGTTTTTTGGTCACTACATGATTCCATATGTGTTATTTCATAGTTGTGATGTCTTCACTATTATTCTACAATGTAGAAAATAGTAAAAATATAGAAAAACCCTTGAATGAGAAGGTGTGTCCAAACTTTTGACTGGTACTGTATAAATAATATATATCTATATATCATTGTATTCAGCTAATTTATTCAGCTAATAGATATCACATATTTCATATAATGTATGACTACATATAGAGACAGTTCAACCTCATGTTTTTAGGTCAGATATACGGTAGTGTAGTAGTTAAGTGTATCTGGGTCAAACTGTGTGGGTTTTTTCAGGTTGGTATGACGTAGCATTGCAGTGAATCCATTTGGATCTTGTATATCACAGCCATATAGAGACAGGTGTTCCTTTAGGCTAGATATGTTCTGGTTATAGTATATTGTAGTGCAGGGAGAGGGTGTATTTCTAGGTCAATTAGTGTATTAGTGTGTCCCTTTTTCCCATTGGTCAGATGAAAGTGGAAGATAAGAGCTGGAACATGTTTCCTTCAAACTGCAGATTTTACACCTTTAATAATTCAGACGCCAGATGGTCCAGTCGCATGCTCCTCTCTATGACTCACCACCTCCATCACGACACACACACACACACACACACACACCATTCATCCCTTTGAAATCTTTCATACACAGTACACCCATTACCTCAACCCAACCTCAACATATTAACATTCATAGTCTCTGAACTTAAATCTCTCCCTACTACACACACAGGTAAAGGGCAAATATGTTGTTTTCCTCCAACAAGTGCACATTAAAACACAGGTTGTAAATTCAACAGGTCTTTATTTATCATTACCATTTTCTCAACCGGATGATAATAGGAAATTTGAGCACAGTCAGCTGTGGTCCAGTGTGTGTGTGTGTGTGTGTGTGTGTGTGTGTGTGTGTGTGTGTGTGTGTGTGTTGTGGTGTGTGTTTGTGTGTGTGTGTGTGTGTGTGTGTGTGGGGTATGGTATGTGTGGTGTGTGGTGTGTGTGTGTCGTGTGTGGTGTGGGTGTGTGTGTGTGTGTGGTGGGTGTGTGTGGTGTGTGTGTGTGTGTTTCAATTGTAGATGTGGCTTTGTGTAATTTGTGTCTCCGCAACGGATACGTGGCCTGTTATTATTATCATTACACTAACTGGGTTGCATGGTGGATCTTGAGATCTGTTTCACGAACAGATGATGAGTTCATCCTCCCCCGCCTCCCTTCGCCCGCTCTCTCGCCCCCTCCCCCGTAGCGGATGTGTTTACCCACACCCCCTGTCCTCCTGGGGGAAAAGGAATCTAGGTCAATCGCTCCTCCTGAATGAATTCTGCTTCCGACTGGCCCCTCCCCCCTGCTCGGCGCAAAGCCTGCTCCGGCTCACGCAACAACCCTGCTTTCTGTGATGGACACCCCCACACTCCGACGGCGATTGGCCAGGACGCCTTAGAGCTCAACCGTTGCTGCCGCCTCATTGGCTCTCTCTGCCTGCTGCTGTTCTGATTGGCCGGGCTACGGGGGTCTTGTTTCTGTGGGATGGTTGCCGTGGTGCAGAGGAAGATCTGTGTGCATACAGTGATCCCCTCCAATCTGAGGCAACCAGGGCAACTCCCTAACCAACCATCACATTGGCACACACGTCAAACTGCAACGCAGTCAAATGCGGTTGTATATTCCCCTTTAAGTTTCTCACAGCCCTTTAAGACTATAAGACTTTAATAGCCTGTTAATTTCTTCATTTTTTGCAGCACTTGTTGTTTCCTTGCTTAGCAGGTGTTCTTTGTTCTGTCAAAGTATTTTGTTGTTTTCATGCTATATGATATAGGTCTACAGCTGAACAGTGATTTATGGTTCTTATGCTCTATTAGTTTCCATTCCAGTAACCAGAAGGCCACACTACTGCTTTTATAATGAATCAAGTAAAAACAAATCATATCTGATTAGAGATGGTTGAATGTCCATCCATTCATTACCTTGTCTCTATTTACATTTTCTATTACAGTAATCATATTTTTCCCAATGTGTCCTGCTTCCATCATTCATTTCATTCATCTGTTTTCCTTTGATATCTGCTGTTATTATAAAATTCCGGTGAATTGCCAATTGCATGCAACAACGACTTGCAGTGACCTCTGACACTTTTGCTCACAACAGGCGCAGAGCGGATCACTTTTGTCTACCTGGTGAGGATTCATGCTAGAGCTGATCACATAGGCTAAACGAGTCACACCAGGACATCAAGATCAGATCTCTCCGGATGTGACCATTCTTGGAGCACATTCTCTTGCGAAATGTAAACTGGGTCTTTGTGGGTTTTAAGGAGAAAACGGATGAGCAGACACTGTAGAACGCAGATACTGTATGTTGCACATGCTGTGGGGAGGCATTTTCCAAACGGTTAGCTTTTCGACAGCACATCAAAAATGAGACCGGTCACTTCGCACGCACCCTTCGAACCTCCTCAAGCCTGAATGAGTTAGTAGAGTCAGGTTGGTGGCACCTTAATTGGGGAGAACGTGCTCATGTTAATGACTGGAGGAATGGTATCAAATACATCAAACACATGGTTTCCAGGTGTTTGATACCATTCCATTTGCTCCGGTTCGTCTATTATTATGAGTCGTGAGACCTCAGCAGCCTCATGTGGTGAAATCCCAAGACTAAGATGAGCGGGGGGGGGGGGGGGGGGGGGGTGGAATCTAACACTGCAACATGTCCGTGTGGGGATGAGAAAGTATGATGAAAAGAAAGTTTGCACGCACGTCCACCATGCAGTAATAGTGGCAAACATTGGCCGACTGGGCTGACATACTGTACATGTAGGCCTATATAAACGGCAGGAGCAGTGGAATTGAATGACCAAGCAGAGCCTCACTCACTAGAAGCCTATGTTTGGTTTGTTATGGAGTTCATCCGCATTGCTGCACTCAACCTCATGTACACTCACTGCACTCTGGCTTGTAATTCGTTTACAGCCCAGCCCTCTGAGATCGCCTGCTTCAGACAAATGGAGTGTGGTGTTGTTATGTAATGTCAGACAGGAATGCTGTACAGTGCTGTCACACGTACACCACCCAGTGCATATTGTGGTGTAGTGTTTCTCCGTAATGTTGGTATAGTTGTGTGTTGTCCTGTAGTTTGTTTTCTTAGCTGTGTGGTACGTGTACGCAGCAGTGTTTTTCATAGTTGTGTTGTGTTTTTCCGTAATTGTTCGTTGTTGCATAATGGTCTTGTGTGTTTGTGTAGTTGTGCATTGGGTAGTATTTTTTCATAGGTGTGTATTAGGCCTATGTTGCCTTGGCTACGTTGAATTACAGGCTATGTTGCCTTGGCTACGTTGAATTGCAGGCTATGTTGCCTTGGCTACGTTGAATTGCAGGCTATGTTGCCTTGGCTACGTTGAATTGCAGGCTATGTTGCCTTGGCTACGTTGAATTGCAGGCTATGTTGCCTTGACTACGTTGAATTGCAGGCTATGTTGCCTTGGCTACGTTGAATTGCAGGCTATGTTGCCTTGGCTACGTTGAATTTCAGGCTATGTTGCCTTGGCTACGTTGAATTGCAGGCTATGTTGCCTTGGCTACGTTGAATTACAGGCTATGTTGCCTTGGCTACGTTGAATTACAGGCTATGTTTGCTTAGCTAGCCGTGCAGTTCCATACTTACCATCACAACTGTCCGGATTGGCCCTGCAGCCCCTGCAGACCAAGGTGGGGCTGTGGTCCACTGTCTCAGAGGAAATGCTCAGCTTGGTAGCCGGGTCCCTCCTGGGTTTGGGCGGGGGCAGCTTGCGGGAGGTGGGGCTGCCCACCTCCTCCTCCCCGCCACCATTACTGCCCCCGCCCACCGAGTGTAGGGACTGGGAGCGCACGGTGAAGCCCGGCCCGCAAGCAAGATAGGGGGGCACGGGCATGCGCTCCGGGGGGGGCGGCATTGTCATGGAGCCCATGCGCAGGAGCTTCACCTCAGTCACCACCTCTTCACCCGTCCTGAGAGAGAGAGAGAGAGAGAGAGAGAGAGAGAGAGAGGGAGAGAGAGAAATGTTTATGTTATGATACATGACGACTGATCTGGAATCTGATAGTATAGGTGCTCGTGTCATAACGCATGACGGTATGCAGAACTATCTTTACATTTGATATACAGTTGAAGTCGGCAGTTTACATACACTTAGGTTGGAGTCATTAAAACTCGCTTTTCAAACACTCCACAAATTTCTTGTTAACAAACTATAGTTTTGGCAAGTCGGTTAGGACATCTACTTTGTGCATGACACAAGTAATTTTTCCAACAATTTACAGACATATTATTTCACTTATAATTCACTGTATCACAATTCCAGTGGGTCAGAAGTTTACATGCGGTGACCCGATCCTGCAGGTTCATGCTCTACAACATTCGGAGAGTACGACCCTGCCTTACACAGGAAGCGGCACAGGTCCTAATCCAGGCACTTGTCATCTCCCGTCTGGACTATTGCAACTCGCTGTTGGCTGGCCTCCCTGCCTGTGCCATTAAACCCCTACAACTCATCCAGAATGCCGCAGCCCGTCTGGTGTTCAACCTTCCCAAGTTCTCTCACGTCACCCCCCTCCTCCGCACACTCCACTGGCTTCCAGTTGAAGCTCGCATCCGCTACAAGACCATGGTGCTTGCCTATGGAGCAGTGAGGGGAACGGCACCTCTGTACCTTCAGGCTCTGATCAGTCCCTACACCCAAACGAGGGCATTGCGTTCATCCACCTCTGGCCTGCTGGCTCCCCTTCCTCTGCGGAAGCATAGTTCCCGCTCAGCCCAGGCAAAACTGTTCGCTGCTCTGGCACCCCAATGGTGGAACAAGCTCCCTCACGACGCCAGGACAGCGGAGTCACTCACCACCTTCCGGAGACATTTGAAACCCCACCTCTTTAAGGAATACCTGGGATAGGATAAAGTAATCCTTCTAACCCCCCCCCCCCCCCCCCCCCCCAAATTGTAAAGTGGTTATCCCACTGGCTATAGGGTAAACGCACCAATTTGTGAGTCGCTCTGGCTAAGAGCGTCTGCTAAATGACGTTAATGTGCCCTTGAGCAAGGCACTTAACCCTAATTGCTCCTGTAAGTCGCTCTGGATAACAGCGTCTGCTAAATGACTAAAATGTAAATGTAAATGTAAACAGCTTGGAAAATTCCAGAAAATGATGTCACGCTTTAGAAGCTTCGGATAGGCTAATTGACATAATTTGAGTCAATTGGAGGTGTACCTGTGGATGTATTTCTAGGCCTACCTTCAAACTCAGTGCCTCTTTGCTTGACATCATGGGAAAATCTAAACAAAATCAGCCAAGACCTCAGAAAGAAAATTGTAGACCTCCACAAGTCTGGTTCATCCTTGGGAGCAATTTCCGAACGCCTGAAGGTACCACGTTCAGCTGTACAAACAATAGTACGCAAGTATAAACAACATGGAACCACGCAGCCGTCATACCGCTCAGCAAGGAGACGTGTTCTGTCTCCTAGAGATGAACATACTTTGGTGCGAAAAGTGCAAATCAATCCCAGGACAACAGCAAAGGACCTTGTGAAGATGCTGGAGGAAACAGGTACAAAAGTATCTATATCCACAGTAAAAATAGTTATATATCGACATAACCTGAAAGGCCGCTCAGCAAGGAAGAAGCCACTGCTCCAAAACCGCCATATAAAAGCCAGACTACGGTTTGCAACTGCACATGTGGACAAAGATCGTACTTTTTGGAGAAATGTCCTCTGGTCTGATGAAACAAAAATATAACTGTTTGGCCATAATGACCATCATTATGTTTGGAGGAAAAAAGGGGTCGCTTGCAAGCCGAAATACACCATCCCAACTGTGAAGCACGGGGGTGGCAGCATCATGCTGTGGGGGTGCTTTGCTGCAGGAGGGACTGGTGCACTTCACAAAATAGATGGCATCATGAGGAAGGAAAATTATGTGGATATATTGAAGCAACAATCTCAAGACATCAGTCAGGAAGTTAAAGCTTGGTCGCAAATGGGTCTTCCAAATGGACAAGACCACAAGCATACTTCCAAAGTTGGGGCAAAATGGCTTAAGGACAGCAAAGTCAAGGTATTGGAGTGGCCATCACAAAGCCCTGACCTCAATCCTATAGAAAATGTGTGGGCAGAACTGAAAAAGCGTGTGCGAGCAAGGAGGCCTACTAACCTGATTCAGTTACACCAGCTCTGTCAGGAGGAATGGGCCAAAATTCACCCAACTTATTGTGGGAAGCTTGTGGAAGGCTACCCAAAACATTTGACCCAAGTTAAACATTTTAAAGGCAATGCTACCAAATACTAATTGAGTGTATGTAAACTTCTGACTGGGATTGTGATGAAAGAAATAAAAGCTGAAATAAATAATTCTCTCTACTATTATTCTGATATTTCACATTCTTAAAATAAAGTGGTGATCCTAACTGACCTAAGACAGGACATTTTTACTAGGATTAAATGTCAGGAATTGTGGAAAACTGAGTTTAAGTGTATTTGGCTAAGGTGTATGTAAACTTCCGACTTCAACTGTAGAAACAATTTATTATGGATGGAAAAACTGTAGCTCAATTGGTAGAGCATGGCGCTTGTAACGCCAGGGTAGTGGGTTCGATCCCCGGGACCACCCATACGTAAAAATGTATGCACACATGACTGTAAGTCGCTTTGGATAAAAGTGTCTGCTAAATGGCATATTAAAAAACAAACAAATATAACCGCACTGAACACTATAAAGCTGAAATGTATTGCTTTCAAATCCAAAATGATTGATCCAGAAATGATAAACAATAAATCGATCAATCTTTCATTCAAACAGTTGTAGTATGTTACTGTGACAAATATTCATCTATAAAGAGCATGAGAAAACTTAAAACCTCACTGATACATCAGTCCTTCCCTCACCTCTGGAAGGTCTGCCCTTTCACAAGAACTTGAACCAAAAATAGCACACAGAGGTCTACTTTGATGTTTGTTTGTGCACGTGTGTGTGCTTCCGCTTGCACTAGTCGCTTTGTGACGGCTCAAATGATGCAAGCACCAACAACGAGAGCCACATTAGTGCCACTCAGCCGAGAGAATCTCTCTGTGGGTAGCCATTGATTTGTGTTTAACCCTGGGCACGGTTAGCTCAGTGCTCCCAGCCTCAGAGACACAATGACACGATGGAAGTCCCCCACTCCAGCCACCATCGATCACTCTTTAAAAACACGGATGATTGGCCTGAATGGAGTGGTTCATGTGGCAGGATGGGGCTTTTAACAGTCACAGGACTATAGAGTTGATTTCTGACTCTCTTACTGCCAGATGGTGGTGACTTTAGCTTCATTTCAAGTACTGTTTTTATTTATTTTTATTTAAAAGGTAACCAGCAAACAGAAGATGTCACGGCTAAAGTTTAAATGCAGTTTGGAGATGTGGTGGACAAAAAAAAGACTTTTTCCACATTTTGTTACGTTACAGACTTATTCTGAAATGGATGAAATAGTTTTTTCCCCTCATCAATTTACACACAATACCCCAGAATGGCAAAGCAAAAACAGTTTTTAGAAATGTTTGCAAATGTTGAAATATTACATTTACATAAGTATTCAGACCCTTTACTCAGTACTTTGTTGAAGCACCTTTGGCAGCAATTACAGCCATGAGTCTTCTTGAGTATGACATGCCTGTATTTGGGGAGTTTCTCCCATTCTTCTCTGCAGATCCTCTCAAGCTCTGTCAGTTTGGATGGTGAGCGTCGCTGCACAGCTATTTTCAGTTCTCTCCAGAGATGTTCGATCGGGCTCTGGCTGGGCCACTCAAGGACATTCAGAGACTTGTCCCGAAGTCACTCCTGTTTTGTCTTGGCTGTGTGCTTAGGGCCGTTGTCCTGTTGGAAGGTAAACCTTCGCCCCAGTCTGAGGTCCTGAGCGCTCTGGAGCAGGATTTCATCAAGGATCTCTCTGTACTTTGCTCCACTCATCTTTCCCTCGATCCTGACTATTCTCCCAGTCCATGCCGCTGAAAAATATCCCCACAGCATGATGCTGCCACCACCATGCTTCACCATAGGGATGGTGGCAGGGTTCCTCCAGACGTGATGCTTGGCATTCAGGCCAAAGAGTTCAATCTTGGTTTCATCAGACCAGAGAATCTTGTTTCTCATGGTCTGAGAGTCTTTAGGTGTCTTTTGGCAAACTCCAAGTGGCCTGTCATGTGCCTTTTACTGAGGAGTGTCTTCCGTCTGGCCACTCTACCATAAAGGCCTGATTGGTGCAGTGCTACAGAGATGGTTGTCCTTCTGGAAGGTTCTCCCATCTCCACAGAGGAACTGGAGCTCTGTCAGAGTGACCATCGGGTTCTTGGTCACCTCTCTGACCAAGGCCCTTCTCCCCCAATTGCGCAGCCAGCTCTAGGAAGAGTCTTGGTGGTTCCAAACTTCTTCCATTTAAGAATGATGGAGGCCACTGTGTTCTTGGGGACCTTCAATGCTGCAGAAATGATTTGGTACCCTTCCTAAGATCTGTGCCTCGCACAATTCTGTCTCTGAGCTCTATGGACAATTCCTTCGACCTCATGTCTTGGTTTTTGCTCTGACATGCACTGTCAACTGTGGGACCTTATATAGACACGTGTGTTCCTTTCCAAATCATGTCCAATCAATTGAATTTACCACAGCTGGACTCCAATCAAGTTGTAGAAATATCTCAAGGATTATCAATGTAAACAGGATGCACCTGAGCTCAATTTCGAGTCTTATAGCAAAGGGTATGAATAGTTATGTAAATAAGGTATTTCTGTTTTTTATTTTTTAGAAATTTGCAACAATTTCTACAAACCTGTTTCCACTTTGTCATAATGGAGTATTGTGTGTAGCTTGATGAGGAAAACAATTAATGTAATCAATTGTAGAATAAGGCTGTAACATAACAAAATGTGGAAAAAGGGAATGGGTCTGAATACTTTCCGAATGCACTGTATATCATCAGATATCGTCAGATACGAAAATGTGTTGATTGTGGTATAAGGTCAACCCTTCTACTTTTTTTGGGGGCAAACATACATTCAATTGATTTACATACCTGTAAATCAATTGAACCCTACAAAAACAAATAGCCTAACAAATATTATCTCTCCAGCCACACAACTACGGAACTTTTGGCATATGCACACACCCACTCACATAGTGGCCATTCAAACTACTGTGCATCATCCACTGTGTTGAATATGCACTTCCTCCCTACATCTTTCTCTGTTGGCGCTCAAGTACAAATCAAACTCCTCATTGCACCGATGCAGAGTTTTCACAATGTCAGTGGATGATAGTTGAACCCCATGTAGTTCAACCCTGATGGGGACAGTACTCCAGTTGCAGAGTGCCTCTTTGAAAAGGTTAGAAAACTGTTGTTTTGGACAACATAGAATGGATGTCCTATCAAGACCAATAGGACAGAATCAGTGATGTTGATATGTTAGTACTCTAAACAGTTTTTGTCTAGTTACTATCATGGAGGGGAATCAATCATCTGCACTAAATCAGTTAGTTATAGGAAAACCAACCCAATGGCTTTTCTGTGTTTTGGTATCTTTTGATGGTTTAGCCCACATAATGGAAATTAAGTCCAAGAGTTTATCCATACATTAAATCAATGTGTCAGTCAAAATAAAAAGTTGGAAGATTATTGTGACATTGTGTGCGTACAAATGCTTGAATGCATGGGTGTGCGGGGGTGGGTGGATGTTTGCGTGTTTGTGTGTGCATGTGTGACTTTGCTGACTCCCACTGACTCCAAGCCAGCTGCTGAGCAGCAGGAGCTTGGAGGGTTGGGTTCATTGGTCAGGGGCTTAACATTGCCTAGCAACAGGGTACCCACGGAAACCAGACACAAAGCCTGCAGCTGGCCAGTTCAGCACAACAAACGCACACATGAGAAACTACAGGTCCCATGTCCCAAACTCCCATCTGTAGTTCTTGAAGGAAAAATCCACCCAAAACCACTAATTCCTATAATTTACAGTGTTAAATAACACAAATGTTTCATTTTATTGTTATAATAAGATTGGTAGCAACATGTGAAAATCGTTGTGGAAATCTGTTGCAGTTCAAGTCGACTACAAAACGCACAATGCAATGCTCTCTTTATGGGATGGCTGGCTAGCAAGCTAGGTAGCTAGCTACCAAACGTAGTTACACACAATAATACCAAAGTCAATATCAGCATGTAAAGAAGCTAGTTAGCTGTAAAATCACCTAAACAAACTGCACTATCAATTTAGGCGTCTACAATCTCACCATGTTCAACTTACAGAACGATGTGCCTCGCAGAGTGGAGTCTGACATTCACAACGGCCATGCAATGGCATCATTCAATGCACCCTGGACTGAAGAGGCAGACAAATAGGAGATATGTGGTGGACCCTCTGTTAAATTACAATTTTCTCGAGGTAGGAATATTGCAAAAATATTATCAATGGCTCCCGCGTTGAGATATCAGCCAGTATTGAAATCTGACATATATGATAGACGTTTTTGCGATCTAAAAGTCATATTCCTATTAACTTCCAGTGTAGTGAGAGCGGCTTTATCACAATGCTATGTCATACCGGCCGAATTTCTGCGTGCTTGAACGACAATAGCTCAGACACACATGAAAACATGAAATGACCCCAGGAATCAATAGAACACAGATGTAGCATTCAAATAGGGTGAATCTTTCCTTTAACCTGTAGACCTCCCTTGTGTACAGCTATATGACACCTACCCTCCTCCAGCTATCAAACCTATCCCACACCACCTGAGGGTTCCAGGACCTCTGGTTATGAATCACTGCAGTAGACCGTGCCAGTCACGCCCATGATGGAGGTAGCGTTGAGCTGGCATTTTCAAGACCAGGGAGGGAAAATCACACCGCTCTCAGTGTGTATTCCTGGTCGTGCCTTGTGCCCAGAGGAGCTTGGCACTGTTGATGTTATGTAGCCTAGAAGACAGTGCCCATTTCAAACACTCTCTTTGGTACTTTTCTATTCTTCTTTTTCTGTCATAAAACACACTAACCATGGTATCTGAATGGCAGGAGTTATTGTTTTCCCTATGTTTACTGTTAAAAATCAAGGTTCAAGTTGAAACCGAATACGGTTATTCAGAGCGATGCCATAGGGGAACCATTTTAGGCTCTCTGAAGAACCTTAAATGGGATGGTTCTTTGAAGAACCACATACACTCAACACCTTGTTGTTGAGCCTTATTTGCATATTTCCTAGGGTGCCTTTCAAGTTTATTTTAGACCACCCATGACTGTGTTTGCTAGTGACATGGTTGTTGCGTTCATAAATGTTCAGTCCTGTGGTCTTCACCAAGTAAAATCCTAAGTGATTGTGTTATCCTAAAATAATAATTATTTAGGACAGTATAATACATATTTCATTAGGCCTTATTTTGAGGGCCTAGTTTTACCCTAATACAGTGGCCTGAAACTCATGGTTTACAGGCCACATCAGGCCTGAAAGTCACATTATGCGTGTAATTCCAACTGGAATCCAGCAAGAGCGGGGATAGTCAACATTTGCTTACAGAATGACTGCCAGGGTTAGGAAGACTAAGATATGAGCCAATCTAAAGTGGAACAAATAACAGATTGAATTAGTTTAGAAAAATGTACGTTATTTATATTTGAGTAGAATAAGATTAATTAATCAATCATGTACATGCAAAAACATAGATATTGAAACAAACAATTCAAAAAATCTACCTGCAGTAGAGCATGCTGGGAAATACGATAACGATTGGCATGGTTTTGGTTCAACTTTGATTATCATCACCAACACTGGGGTTATTTTACACAACTGAGTGTTAATTGCTGTATGCTATAAAAGGGACACATCTGCAGGCTCTGTAGCTCAGCTGGTAGAGCACGGCGCTTATAACGCCAGGGTAGTGGGTTCGATCCCCGGGACCACCCATACACAAAAAAATGTATGCACGCATGACTGTAAGTGGCTTTGGAAAAAAGCGTCTGCTAAATGGCATATTATTATTTCAAGAACCTTTTAGAATTCCGAAGAACCGTAGATGTCACGTCAAGAACCCTCCACTTAACTCAAAGGTTCTTTATCGGCCAAGAGTTCTCTCCAAGGAACCTTAACAGCTGAGGAAGAACCCTTTAAGAACCTTCATTGTTTTCAGTGTAGTAAATCAAGTAACGAGTTGTAGCTTTTGCTCTTAACTCATAAACCCTGCAGAAATTATAATAATAATGTCATAACATTAGCCTATTTCATAATCATTTGTCGTTTCATTAGAATTAGAACAACTTTATCCATGAATGTGGAAATATGGCTTCACTATAACATGGTGGTACTTAATTTGTATACTCTGCAGAAATGACAAAAATAATGTAATCATAATCATACGTAATAATAATTCAGCTCTGCTCGCTCACACACAGGTGTCTGCAGGAAAGCACTCATAAACATAAACACATACAGAGCTGTGTGCACCAGGTGTGTAACTGGTGGAGTGTATGTGTGTGTTATTTATAGGATCTTTGCCCAGTGATTGGCTGGAACTTAGACCACAGGTGCACATGGAACAGTTGGATGAAGGGTTGTCGTCGGGCAGTTCTGGCTCTGTGTCAGTATGCTACTTGAGTCTATGTGACATTGAAGGCACAATAACACACCAAAAAATAACAGAACTAAGTTTGTGTGTGAGGTTTGCTGTGCATATACATGTGTGTGAGTGTGTGTGTGCGTGCATGCGCACGTGCGTGCGTGTGTGCGAGTGACAACACACACTGAGTGTCATGGACAGACTTTTCCCTTACAGTTAACCTCACACATAAACCCAATTATTTTGTTTGTTGGTGACATATTGCACGTTCCAAGTCACAGACACTCAAGTGTAGACACAGAACCAGAACTGCCCGACAACAGTTGTGTGTATATCCCTGTGTGTGTGAATAACTACTCCTTCAGATACAATGGAAACACAAGTGGGATAGCAGTGTAGGCAGGAAGACCCTCCTCACTCAAACCAACGTGGTGATCTGATTGGCCTGCGGCTGTTCCAGCTGTCACCAGGCAGAACACATCTCCTGCTAGCGAGCTCTTCACACTTAATCTCTTTCTAACAGGTTTATTTTCTCTCCCCCTCCCTCTCCTCTCTCTCTCTCTCACATTCTCCCTCGTTCTCTCTCTCCCATTCTCTCTCGTATATATCTATTTCTCCCTCTCTCCTTACCAATCTCTCTCTTTTTGCCTCTCTCTCCCTCCATCAGTTACTGTAAAAATGGGTCATCTCATTGACCTACTTATAGGCCTCATCAAAAATCCAGCTATTTTTTATACTCTTCCTCTAGCTTCTGTGTATTAATATTTTACATTGACAACAGTTGAGAGACGGATAGAGAGATATCAGGACACTAGATACCACTTTCCTCAAGGCAGCACCTCCCTTGGAATGGGTACAAAGTTAGGATGACTTCAGACTCGCTGTCGGGTGTGCTAGGTAACTTTTGCTGCAATGTTTTTGAGTGAAAGGTTCTATGAGTTTGTTCTGCACTCCATAGAACGTTTCATCATAGGACTGAAGGACCTAGGATTTTGTGCTTTAAAACATGCACTATTGGTTGCTCAAATAGACCTTGCTCATAAATGCTACTAATATAAACAGTGTTGTGCGTGTAAACATTGCAAGTGCAGAGAACTAGTACAGTTAACGAATGGAAATGTATACACTGCTGACACCCACTATAATATTAGGAGTCAACTGTAGTTGAAGTCAGATTTACTATCAGAAGAAGACACTAAATGGCCAAAGCTTTAAGGCACTGCACATACTCGACACTCTCGACAACATTTGCAGAGCTTAACAGGTGAAAGCGATCAATGCCATTCAAGGCTTAAAGAGTGATGACTGTTCAGCTTTGGAACATATTTCCTGGACCTAGAAGATGTTGCAGAGACTTTGCCACCATGTAGAAAGAGAATCTGTCGAGGAACTCTGCAACCACTGTTAGCATGTAGCAATAGAAAGCGCACACAACCAGACGCCTGCAACTCTCTATCCATCTGCTATCATCCTTTATGGGTGAACCACACATTTGCTCCACAGCACCTACTTGTTCACACACAACCAAAGCACGCCGTCTCCACGTGCTGCCCACGTTGTGCGCCCACTTCCTGTTCGCCACGTGGTGCCGCTACACATCCCCAAGTCAGGACAACCAGTCTCCTCTGCCTCACTTTCACCGGGACAGAGGGTGAAAGAGGACGCAAACATTTCCAAGACACTACTGACTATTCCAATGCGAATTCCAATGCTTTGTACAGAATCAGACAAAACTTTTTGTAACCACTGTATCAGACCACTGAAATTACAAACTCTCAGTTAGTAAATAATATTATGCACATTATGTATGACTGGTTTTGAGTTTTGGCCCACTCTTCTATCATTAGCCAGCTAACAAATATAGCCTATAGTTCTGTTGATTGGCCCTACATTAAAAACAACCTTAAACCAAACAAACACTTAGTGCATTCATGTCCAATAGTGAATGTGGGCTCGTCCATCAATTTTATGAGCACAATCCCCCTAAATCTACCCTGGTCCCAGATGTGTTTGTGCTCCTATGGTTGTTGTCATCTGTTTCTGCTGTCTTGCCAAGTCCTATTGCCGTTGCCATGCCAAACAACGGCCATAAGGGTTGGCTATACGGCACAAAAAGATCTGAGACCAGGCTACCTTAAAACTACTCTCCATCAAGTGGAACAGGCAGGGACGACCTCTAGCCAAGGACAAGTCCCAAATAAGTCAGTAAATGACAAATTAACTCTACTCCGTAGAGAGGCCCGCACTGACCCACTGGAACCCCAAGCTATGGTAATAGCTTACGGGACACACACACTGTGAGCTTTTAACAGAAGGGACTGAGGACATGTTACACACTCAAGACCCACACACACAACCCGTGCACACACACTCAAGAACCACATAGAGTACATGCACCCTTTCTTCTCTGTTGTGTATGGAAACTCAACAGTTTGACCAATGCAGTACAAGCCTTTGATCCAAATCAGAATGACGCACCATAATGCCGGGCGGAACACTACACGACTTTTAAAATCCTAACATCGCTGAGCCTCTCATATTAAATGACAGTCTTTCCTGTTGTGTTTCTGTCTTGCCAACGTAGTGGTGTGCACAGACGGGGGTCACACACCATAAAAATACTACACTGTCTCGCTAAAACAAGGATGTGATGTGATTAGATAGCTAGAACGAGCTGTGGCTCAAAGCAGCCTCATAAACGTTTTCAGTCAGACATTCATGCTTGCGATACAGAGTTGAAATATCTAGCCAATCCATTTTGAATGTAATAACATTGCGTGTAAAGAGCTTGTCAGAGTCATCGCTCCTGCTCGAGAGTACACATTATGTGTGATGCGATACAACATCATCATCTTACTGGCTCCTTCTCTGGAGAGCTCTCATTGGCTATTGCAGATCACTGTTCTCAAATCTTGTCGTTGCATATCTCACAGTACAAGAGCATTGCAGATTTTGTGCCGATAAATTCAAACGTTTCCAAATATCGGGACGTCTGGGACTGCTCAAAGATGGGCTCGGTAGCCCTCAGATTCCATCTCTGACCCGTTCACTTTAAAAGAGCGTCGGTGATGGCCGCGCTCCCCGAGTAGGCAACAACATGGGATTTTGTCTCCGATCGCAAAAACTTGTCTGGGACAGCGAAATCGGGGCCAAAATCACGTAGTGTACACCCAGCTTAAGGGAGCGGAACTCCGAAGGCCTCCTTGAAAGATTGGACTGGGTGCCCTAAGGGCTTGTTTGGGCCAGTTTCATTGTCTGTCTTGGAGGCTTAGGTTAGCTGTGATTGTAAGAGGTCCGTGGCATCAGCAGCACAGAGCAACAACTTAAGCCTGTGACTTTACAAGCATGTAATGTATAAGTGGATCTATATATAACTGGACAAGCATGCAGTGTTTGTGTGTGTGTTTGTTTTGGGGTGTATTATAAGATGCATGACTGTCTTTGATGCTTTGTTACATGTAATGTTAAGTCCTCACACGAGTATGATGCAACATCTCACATCTATAGACAAGCATGACATGTATGTATGTATTATTTATCAAAGGTCTGCGGCCCAGAGTATCCTGTAGGTGTATGAACGCATTTTAAGCCTCCTACCTCTTTATGGCTTCTTCCTGTTTTCTCTTCTTGTCGTTTTTCTCCTGTAGGTAAATCCTGTTCCTCTCATTCATGGCGTGGTCCAGGTTCTGAGAGACCAGCCCGCTGTAGGCTCTTAGTCCGCTATCTTCAACATACTGGAAAAATCTCAGAGTTTCTTCCTCTTTGGAGCTCATCATTCTTCACAAGCGATCCGGCAGCCTTCTGCGAGAGGAACATAGGGTAGCGTTAATGACAAATATGGCATAGTGGCACAGTGACGTTCACGGTGGCTGGTGGTTGTGTCTGGGTGTTTTTTTTTTTGCTTATAAAGGGTTGTTAGTATTTGTGGTAATAGTTGCGTCATGACTGCGACCACAAGTTTCATCATTACCCCCCCCCCCCCCCCACATGGGGAACGTACAGTACAAACACACAGCTCTGAAGGGGCCCCACTATCTAGTCGCTCTGATAAATGACTTCAATGGATCAAGATGAAAGAAGGATGAAAGAAGGAAAACAAATAACACAAAAGAGAATGACACAGTAGCCTTATACTTAGGGGACTAGGATGAAGCAACATACAGTACTGAGAAGTCCTTCAACATAATGTACTATGCATACAGCATTTCAGGCATTATGGTACTGATTGCATTTATGCGCAGTCCTGTGGTTTGTGCTGGATTTCCACATAGAACTGCTGCGATTCATGATCAAATAATCTGGTTTGTGCTTTTGTCTGATTCTCTACAAGATTATTCATTATAAGATTCCTCCACAAACAGTTGTGATTCACAGGCGAGCTGCATGAAGGAGGATGCTCCATTGAAAAAAAGACTTCCCTGACGTCAGTTAGACTGTTATCCCTTTGCTTTCTTTAATGCTCTTAAATGAGGAGAATGGAGGGTGAATACAGCACTGTTTACAGCCACATCCAAACACACCGTTGAGCATCTAATGATGTGGTGTGTGATTCAATGTGTGTGTGTAGATGCAGAGTGTACACTGTGCATAGATGCTGTTTGAGAGGGAATGTGTGTGTACCGGTATGTGTGTGTGCAATAGCACAGTGTATCCTGCAGAAGTCTGTAGCGGAAGAGAAGACAGTGCATGCTCTTATGTAGGTCAATGTTTTCAGATCTGCCTAAGAGACTGAGTGGACTGTGTGTGTGTGTGTGTGTGTGTGTGTATGGAGCGGGGGGAGGGGGCCTGGGGGACAGTGTGTTTGTGTGTGTGACCGTGTATGAGCACGTGTCTGTGTGTGTGTGTGTGTGTATGTGTGTGAGAGAGAGACCGTGTGTCTGTCTGTGTGTGCATGTTAGACTGTGTGTGTGTGTGTGTGTGTGTGTGTGTGTGTGTGTGTGTGTGTGTGTGTGTGTGTGTGTGTGTGTGTGTGTGTGTGTGTGTGTGTGTGTGTGTGTGTGGTGTGTGTGTGTGTGTGTGTGTGTGTGTGTGTGTGTGTGTGTGTGTGTGTGTGTGTGTGTGTGTGTGTGTGTGTGTGTGTGTGTGTGTGAGTCAGAGAGGTTGGAGGGCAGCCAGATGGATTGCATGGCTAACTTAGAAAGACCAGAAAATTGTCTAGCACACTACACCTCTACTGTCTGTCTGTTCTGTCTATCCATGAATAACCTCTACGTTGGGGTTAGTGAGTTTAACTGCATGTGGGGCAGTTCTATCCGGTTTGCTCCAGAGACTCATTTTTAAAGGGCCCAGTTTTGAATCAGTGTCACAGAGAGACGAGAGACAGACCTAATGTACAGTACTGTATTTCAGCTCGTAGCTGAAGTGCTACGGTTAATGCTGCAGAATTGTACCTCATAGTTGAAGTTTATCATTGATACACAGGTACATCTACAATGCATCGACTGGTTGAATGTTGGTCCATGTACCACAGTTTCTAAGCACAGTGGTTTCATGAAGCTGCTGAGTGGTGAAGCACCGTTGAAGCCCATCGTGAAATCTCAGTGTTGAAGTGTTGAGTGAGTGTTAAGTGATATGTTAAGTGGATGTGTTAAGTGCAGAGGGAAAATTCTGTCAGTGACGGGGAAGGGGGGCAACGCAGGATTCAAACACTGCTGGAGCTGAATTAAGCCCGCTTCTGTCATCCCTGTAAGCCTGCAGCGCTGTGCAGCGCTGGAATCAGCTTGTTTATCACACTGTTTTTCAGTAAAACCTTGCAGTCCCATTTTTCATCCTATGGTCTGGCACAGTTCATCTTTTCATTTTCTTTCACCTCTTTCTCCTTCTCATGTCTTTTCTCTCTTTTAAATCAGCTATATCTGTTGGAGAAGCTCTCTCTCCCGTGCGTGCAATTTTTTACTCAATCTTTTCTCTTAAAACATTGTTTTACAGCTCCGAACCTAGATCCTCTCTTTCCTTCACTATACCTCACTTTTTCTTGTCCTCTCCATCCTCTCCTCTCCTTAGGTGACATTGACTGCAACAATTGGTTGTCCGAGGCACCCTTTTCTCAAAACAGAATTGAAAGTGGCACACTATGTCTGTATCTAGGCAACGGTGTCACAGGTGGTATGGGGATATTCTCGAGCGGTGTCAAAAATTGCACAGCCAGCTCAGTGAAAACCATCACTCATCATACAGAGGATCAGGTAACAAAGGTGTACCCAATGAACTCAATGGCACTGTTAGGGGAAGGTGTGTGTGTGTGTGTGTGTGTGTGTGTGTGTGTGTGTGTGTGTGTGATTGTGTGCATGCGTTCACGTGTGTGTGTGTGTGGTGATACTTACAGTGGAGCTGTGTCCCTGCTGCCTTGAGGAGGGCCAAAGAAGTGTTCTCCAGGTGAGTCCAGTGCGAGCCGCTGAACAACTCGGACAGATACTGGAGCACCTGTGCAGAATTCCACTTAAATCCACAGGGAAGTCCAGTAGCCATTGTACGCTCCCGACAGTAAGGCTTGCTCAGAGGAGTCCTCCAGGGCCAGGGCGGTGCCAGGGGGCAGCAAGGCCGGTGGATGCCCAAGCCAGTGCTCCCTCCCCTGGGTAGCCGGAGAGATCCAAACCCTCTGTCCAAACGATGCTAGACTCCAACCCAGGGGCCAGCTTCACACTCATCTGCACATGCTACAGAGCACGGGAAGAGGCAGCAGCACTGGCACAGACCCTACCAGCATCACACACACATCCTCACTGACAAACACAAACAAGCCTCACGCACACTCCTCTTGACTTGCAGCCACTTTCTGCAGAATGAACACACACTCCGGAGGCGACTTGTTCTTCGTGGCTTCTTCTGTCTGATCCGATGAACTCTCAGCTGTCCAGGTGTGTGTGTCAGTTTGTGTCCGTAGTTGAAAAGGAGAGTGGTGTGTGTGTGTGTCAGGGAGTGTTCAGTCGGAGCATCCCTCCACTGCCGCTCTCATCCACAGAGCTCTTCTCTGCTAGCCTGAGCCACAGCAGATGAGTCCAGGCTTCAGAAGCGCAGATCACAACACAAAGAACACGCCTACTCAACCTTCCCCTCTCTCTCTCTCTGTTTCTCTCTCTCTGTTTCTCTCTCTCTGTTTCTCTCTCTCTGTTTCTCTCTCTCTCTCTCTCTCTCTCTCTCTCTCTCTCATGGCCGTGCTGCACTGAATGTGTTTTTCTCTTTTCAGCACCACGGAGAGCTCTCTAATCAGCTGCCTGGCATGGTGGGTTGGAGAAGAGGGGGGTTGGGGGTGGGAGGGGCATTGGTGCCTCCGCTGCTGCCAGGGTGTGTCCTCTTTAGACACAGCCACCCCCTGCCCCGGCAACCACACTACCACTCCCTCCCTCTATTCCTCCCCCCTCCCCTCTCTCTCTCAGCTTGTAAACAAGCCCGGGATACACACAAAAACACAGCACATAATGAATACACTGACTACATTCACATGTATGCATTCACACATCTATACCAAACAAACCAACAACTCTGTATGCACAAATGGAACAAAAACAACAAATGCACATAGAGAAAATGTCAGAAAGCACCCAAAAATTAAAAACCCATTTTCAAAACACACCCATATTAATTAAAACACACTCTGCACAAACACGCAAAGACGAAATCTATGTTAAGGCTGTAACATCCCTGGGGCAACTCAGACGAATGGACACACAACAGGCACAGTTAGAGTTTGAGGTTGTGTTGCTGTGTGTTTGTTATGAGATGCTACTGCTGCTAGTGCTGTGTTTACAGTATGACTGTCCAGACATTGCTTTCCATAAAGACATAGTCTAGTTGTTTGTGTGATGGGAGCGCTCGGGTACAAGGCGCGGCTGCAGGGGGCTTTTACGGCTGGATTAACACTGTATACACAAAAGGATTAGGGTAGCAACGATCTGTTGTTTTCATCAACCCTACCCTCCATTCCCCTCGCCCCCTCCCCCTCCCCTCACTTTCCCCCCTCCCTCCATCCCCCCCCTCGGTTGGTCTCGCACTCGGCTGCAGAAACAAGGAGTCCTGCAGAGAGAGGAGTGGGGGGAAACTGTGTCAGAGGCGACCAAAATTAGTTTACAGAAACAGGCGGTGGTGAATTGGGGAATTGAGGGTGTATTAACTGCTGTTGAATTAGGGACTGCAGAGAGCAGAGCAGATAGGGAGCAGGGGCCTCATTTATCAAAGGTGCGTGCGCACATAAAAGACTCTAAACCTTGCGTGCATCAGTTTTCCTGCAAAGGTTGGTAAAAATGTGCGCAAAGCTCAAACCATGCGGACACACAACTTCTAGTGGTTGATCAATTGAGTTGCATGCTAATGTTGTTATTTTGGGGAACATCGAGGTATTTGGTGGACGGGAACTATAATAATGGTAGGCTAATAAAAACATTAAAACATAGGACAAATTATAAAACAGATGCATTTGCCATTGGTAATGATATCGCATAGCAGCATGTAGTCTAATAGGCCTATGTTCATTTTACTTTTATTATGTAGGCTTAAATCATAATCATATTGCAGGACATGTAACTGTCCCTACTTTTCTGACATCAAAAGGTCAAATAGGTTTATTCCCGCTACATAACAAAAATGTGTCTACCATTTATCCATTGTTAATTCAATAGCCAAGCTATTGAACTATTCAACAGTATGTGTAGGATACAGTATTGCTGTACAATATAAGCGCAACATCACAGCCTATGTCATCTCAGAGCCTATACCAAGGCAGGAGAAGGAAACACAATCATGTATTGATAAACAAAATATTGAACAATATACACTACAA